AAAAAAAAAAAAGTCTTAAAACACACACGCAAAAAAGGCATTTTGTTGTGTAAATATTGCTTCTATTATCCTAAGATGTAAACATTAGAGCATCACTAGAGTCGAATGAGAAACATGACCGTATTTAAAGGCAATACGGCCCATCAGTGCATTCAAAAGTAACTAAAGATTAAATACCATTCATCAAAAAATTATGCTCCAATTTGAGGCACCCCACCAAAAGAGAACTCTTCTGATTGATTATGTCCATTTAACAGATAGCTGCGTGTAAACTGTCTTAAACTAAGTGATTGGAAAAATCAAGATTATAATGGGCTATGACATACAAATGCACTTTTTCCATAATTTTAAAAGGACTTCTGCTCTATGACTGGCTATGTAAGTGGGTGGTAGATGCAGCAGATTTAGAGTCAGCAGTCATTAACTGCTTTGGCTAATACTGTACGCTGACTGGGTCGTTTAATGAAAGGCTGTTGAGCTGGCGAAGGCGCAGGATGGCTGCAAATGTCTTTACCTAATGGCTGTGTAAATGAATTTTTTTTAATCTAAAAAATAATCACTGTTTTTAGCTGTGTTTGCAACACCTGTAATTCATACTGGATTGAAAAATTTGAACCAGCTTCACTGAGGTACGGACTTTAATCAACAGATCTCTAATATTGACAGTGTGTAACCGTTCAGAGCCATGTTTCCTAACCTTTCAGTCATGTGATCTCTTAAATCAAAACAATGTCTGATTAAAAACCCTTCATTATTCAGTTTTCACTCCATTTTTTTCTGCTCTGCTTTTTAAGTTCATCTGAATATTTTCTAGACAACCACAATGTAAAAAAAAGATGAGAATTTTGCGATCCTTGGGTTGCAAACTGCCATATAATAACAGAGCTACATTTCTTAGCTCAGATGTTTTAAATAACCTCTGTTTTTGTTTTCTTGCAAATTTTCATATGTTGAATGTTTAGTACTTAGTACTTAAAATAAACCCCAACACTTGTTTTCTGGTGGAAAAAAGCAAATTCTCATCATTCAAGTGTCACTTTTGATGTCAGAGTTTGGAAGTTTTTTCTGGCTGCTGAGCGAACTGAGAAACTTCTCTCCTTCTGGTCCCACTGCTGCTCATACAGGAAGTGCTAGAGTGCTTTCACACTTACACATATGCTCACTCGCACACACTCTCGCACCCCAACCCTGATCCTAAATCGCGCGCACACACAAACACACACACGCTCTGACATATGCCAGTTCATCCTGACAACTCGGCTGCAACACTCTCACTTTCTGTCCTCTTCTGTTTTATCAGCCAGGTGAAGTTTTCCCTGTGAAACTTCTCGACTTCAGCTTTCAACAGCAGCAGGATTGTCTGACTTTTTCTTTTTTTTAACAATAATTTACTGTAATGTCACTGATTTTATAAGTACTCAGCGTTCTGCTGCTGTTGGCCAGGAGAGCCAGGCTGGGAGGCCATTG